CGCTTTTAGAAATTAAGTTTCTGGTTTGGTGTCTGGAAAGTGGTCAGGAAACTGGGTCAGTCAAAAGAAACCACTTTCCCCATTTGAACCTACTCCCTGAGATCGCAAGCCTATTTTTTATTTTTTTTTACCCTTCTACCAAGCAAGGAAGAGCAGTGCTGTTTTATACAGCATTCTTGCCTTGGAACAGAGAAGCATTTCCTGAACTGTAATTTGAATCTATTTTAAGAATAAAGTGTAAAGAAGTAGAAACCATTGCTCCGTACGGAAATTCTACTTTTAAATTGTCTCTTAATGTGTTAAAATCATCCAGGTTCTCTCTCTTCCTCAAAGGAGAATAAACTTTCTTTTTCTTTCAACCCTTTCTCTATAGCCAGTATACCTGTGTTGAGGGACTCCTGCTTGTAAAACTCTGGGCGAGGTCTACTGGTATAGAGATGAATGGCCGCATTGTGCAGCAAGGCAGGAAGTCAGATAATCAAGGAATGAACAGAATGCTTGAGAACTCTGAGGAACGTGCCATTAATTTGTCTGAGGGAAGGTAGTGAGAGCCTTACCAAGCAACTAACACGTGTCTTAAGACACAACATTCTTTGGACTAAGTTTTTTTTTTTTTTTTTACTTGAAATATAGCTTAGGAAATGATTCATGAGTTATGTGTAACAAGAAGCGAAGATGGGGCTTTTCTTTTTGTGCATTTTCATACCACCTAAATGTCTCTAACTTCTGCACAATGGAAGAAAAAAACAGTTGCTGTTGAGTCGACAGTGACTGACGGTGACCCCTTGTGTTTCAGAATAGAGCTGTGCTCCACAGGCCTTTAGTGGCTGTGTTCTTGTGGAAGTGGATCACCAGGGCTTCCTTCCAAGGAACCTCGAGGTGGAGTCACACCACCAACATTTTGGTTAATAGACAAGCACATTAACCATTGTTTTGGCACCCAGGAACTCCAGTCTTTGCTCAACTGCATGTTTTCTATCCCAGTGCTAATGTATCAATGAAATTCCTGGGGCATTTGGTGCTATTGACTTTACCCATTGTCTTTTCCCACATGCACACATGCCTCTGTGGATGTAACAAGTCAGAAGGCCAGCTGATCTACCTAGGAAGGTGGGAAAGAAAAGGATGCTCAGAATTCATTGCAGAGCGGAAGGGAGAGGCCCCATTCCTGCATCTCATTCTGTATAAAGCAGTAGAATCTTCCAAGTCATAATACTATTCCTACTTCAAGATCACATCATTGATCTGAGAAAATGCTACATGTAATATATTTCTGTAAAAAAGAACAGGATTTCTTCTAATTGCCCACCCAAACAAGACATCTGAGTTTCTGCAAGAAATCTGATTTTCTTTTCCATAGCCCTACTCAAAAAAAAAAAAACCCCTCAGCGTCATCGAGTCAATTCCAACTCATAGTGACCCCCCTTTGTTTCTGAGGCAGTAAATTTTTATGGAAGTAGATTGCCCAGTCTTCCTTCTGTAGAGTGGCTGATGGATTTGAACCACCAACCTTCTGGTTAGCAGTCAAATGCCATAGGCACTATGCCACCAGTGCTCCTTGTTGTTGTTATGTTGTTAGTGCTCCTTAGCCCTACTCAAAAGGAGGAAATATTTGGAATTAGTCAAGTGAAAGGAAAAGTATCCAAATCCTGATAATAGGATGACTCTAATCTAATTTTAGCTTTGAGTACAAAACAATCCATGAGTCACACTTTCCTCCAAACATACAAGTTCATTGTTGTGCTGATGCAATGAGACCTCTAGTTCCCACCTGCATTAGAATGTAATCCCCCAGAGAGACAGACCTGTTTCTGGCCTGTTTGGAGTATCTATCCCCAGTGACTGATAGACGCAGCATTCCATGGCCCTATCTGTGCCCCCATCCAACCAGTTGCCATCAAGTTGACTCCAGTTCATGGCAGCCACATATGTGTTGGCTGTGCTTATAGGGTTTTCAGTGGCTGGTTTTTCAGAAGTAGGGCTCTAAGCCTTCCTTCCACGGTCCCTCTGGGTGGGCTTACACCTCTGACCTCTCAGAAGCTTGTTCGCCATTTGTACCACCCAGGGATTTCTGTGTCCCCATAGTGTAGCATGTTGTTTTATAGTTAGTTGCCTTCCTGGTCCCCACACTCCCTGTTGCTCACCAAGTACCAACCACACTGGCTTCCTTTCTGTACTTCAAATAAAGACATACCAAGCTCTTTCCTACTACAGTACCCCAGCTGCTCATTCTGCCCTGGACTGGCAGCCCCAGTTCTTAATGACTTTCTCTGCCAAGCCTCCCCACACTCAAATATTACCTTCTCTGGGAGCCTTCCATGACCACCCCACCCTTGCCCACTCCTACTCAGCCTCACTTAGTCTGTATCACGTTAAAAGAAAAGGGGAAAAAAAAAAAAACCTGACTGCTGTCTAGTCGATTTGACTCATAGCGACCCCTCCTTGGGTTTCCAAGGCGGTATCTCAACAGAAGTAGATTGCCTGATCTTCCTTACTTTGTGTCATTTAGTAAAGTGTAATGCATGTTGTTTATCTGTGTATTACTATTTATCCCCCTTGATCAGAACGTAAGTGCTGTGGAGCAGGACTTTTGTCCATCTTCTTTATCTCAGTAGCCTCAGTACCTATAGTAATGCCTGACTTGAGAGACTTTTAATACTTGCTAAATGGAGGGCCCAATGTTGCCATTGTGTTAATGCATCTTGTTGAGGGTCTTCAGCAAGGGGCTCAAACACAGCAATGTTTGTGAGGATTATGCAGGACCCGGCAGTGTTTTCGTTCTGTCGTACATAGGATCACTATGAGTCAGAACTGATTCAGCAGCACCTAACAATTAAATGGAGGGCAAACAAGGTGGGTGGGACAGCTATATCAAGGTGATAGCCCTGATGACAGGAGCTTTACTCTCCCATCACTGTTCCGTTTCCCAGTGTGTCCATCTGATTTTATTAAAGGGTTGTAGAGGAGAGTCCCCCAGCGTGCCTTTACTGTAGAGTCTAACTTTGTGTATAATTTTACATTTACTAGTGTGATTATTCATTGAATGTGTGACTCCTCCTGTGTGGTTGTGGTCCATGAGACCAAGGACTTTATGTGAGTTTGCTCACTGGTATATTCTGGTGCCAGCCTGGTACATGACACCTAGACAACGATTGCATAAATGAGTGTGTGTGAGCTGGCACAGAGGCAATGACAAATGTTCAGAAGACTGTTAATGTTAAGAGCAGTTGCCATCAGGTCAGTTCCAACTCATGGACACCCCACATGTTCCAGGAGTAGAAGACCTAGCTTTTCTTCCAAGGTGTGTCTGAGTGGACTGGAACCTCCAGTCTCTGAGTTAGCAACCAAGTACATTAACCATTTCTACCACTCAGGAACTGCTATAATATCAGACAGAGTTTATTTCTGAGTGGTAGGCTTATTGGTCCAACCTCTATTCAGATCCCACCCCCCACCCCCAATATAACTGCCTGACATGGGCAAGTCCCTTGTCTTAGTGACAGATACAACAACAACAGGTACCTGAGTTATGCAGTTAAATATGGTACCTTGTAAATACCACACACATACTTAAACTTTTAAGCGATATAAAAGGAGCTCTGGTGGCACAGTGGATAAGGCAGTTGGTGGCTAACCAGAAAGTGAGCAGTTTAAACCCACCAGCCATTCTGTGAAAGGAAGATGGGGAAATCTACTTCCATAAAGATTTACAGCCTTGGAAAAACCCAGTGAGGATTGCTGTGAGTCAGAATCAACTCAATAGCAATGAGTTTGGTTTGTTTTCTTTCTTTTTTTTAAGTCATACAAAGTTTCCTTGACTGTAAAACTACCATCTCATGTTTTGTGGCTCTTTTTTTCTCATTATTAGTGAACTTCTGCAAGACTTGGAAAACTGTGAAAATGATCCTGTGGCCATAGCTGAATGTTTTGTGTCCAAGGTAAGCAGGGTTCATTTCTCTGGTCTTTAGTTTGAAAGTGAAAATGATGGGTTTCTCCATATTGGATGAAGTTAGCCACTAATTTATCTTGCTCAGTTTTTATTTATTTGTTTTTAACCAGCAGAGAAGAAATATACTGTTAGTGGGGAAAGGAAAATGCTAACTTAGTAGTTGTCCGGGAACTTGTGTAGTAATGGAATTATTTCACTCTTTCCTAGGAAAAACACTTAACATTTATGAGGGGTGTCAAGAATAGAAGAATGTTAGAAAAATACATATAAGATATCACTAGATCAATGTTATGGATTGAATTGTGTCCCCCCTAAAAAATATGTATTGTAAATTCTAACCTCTGTGTCTTCAGTTATAATCCCATTTGAGAATAGGTTGTCTTTGTTATTTTAATGGCACAGGATTAGTGTAGGGTGTGTCTTAAAATCAGTCTCTTACAAGATATGAAAACAATAGATCAGACAAGCAGAGACCAAGGAAGAGAGATGCCAAACCACATGAAGATCACCCAGGAGCAGTAGCTCAGAAGAGACAAGGCCAATAGAGGAAGAGAACCTGCACCTAGAGTCAGCACCCTGATTTCAGGCTTCTAGCCTCCTGAATGGCTTGTGTCATTCCCATCGCCTCATATGCAATTGGAAATATCATGGCTTGACACAAGCCATGATATTTCCAATCGCCTCATATGTATGTGAGAGCTGGACAATGAATAAGGAAGACCGAAGAAGAGTTGATGCTTTTGAGTTGTGGTGCTAGCAAACAACGCTGAAAGTACCATGGACTGCAAAAAGAACTAACAGATATGTCCTGGAGGAAGTGCAGCCAGAATGCTCCTTGGAAGCAAGAATGGCCAGACTTCGTCTCACCTATTTTGGTCATGTTGTAAGAAGGGACCATTCCCCGGAGAAGGATGTCATGCTTGGTAGGGTGGAGGGTCAATGAAAGAGGGGGAGGCCTTCAACGAGATGGATTGACATGGTGGCTGCAATGATGGGCTGAAGTATAGCAGGGATTGTGGGGCTGGCGTGGGATTGGGCAGTGTTTCGTTCTGCTGTGCATGGGGTCGCTATGAGTTGGAAACGACTGGACGGCACTTAACAACAACAACAGCCTCCTGAATGGTGAAAACAATGAGTTTCTGTTTGTTAAAGCCACCCACGTGGGGGCATTTCTGTTACAGAAAACTAAGACAGGATTCAGAACTGAGAAGTGGGGGTGCTGCTCTAACATTTACCTAAAATGTGGAGGTGTTTTGGAATTGAGTAATGAGTAGAGGCTAGAAGATGCTAAGGTGCCTAATGTGCCTAAAATGAGATGAAAGAGATGCACTTAAGAATGAACTGTGCGAAATGAAATGTTGAAAGCCTTGATTGCTTTGAAGAGACTGTTGGTAGAATTCTGGGCATCAAAGGCAGTTCTGGTGAGGGCCAGGAAGTGAGGAGAGCCATAGAGCAAGTTTCTGTCATATCAGAGAATATATACGGCACCAGCAACAGAACGTTGCTGGAAATGTGGACGTTAAATGTGCTTTGGCTGAGGCTTTAAAAGAAAATGGTGAACATGTGATTAGACAGCGTAGGACAGGCAGTACTTTTTATGCATTGGCAAAGAACTTGTCTGAATTGCATTCAAATGTTTGTGAAAGGTAGAAGTTGTACATGATGAATTTGGATATCTGGCTGATAAGAGTTCTAAGCAAGATGTTAAAGGGGCTGTGTGGTTTCTCTTTGCCACAGTGAAATAAGACGAAAGAGATGAACTTAAGAGTGAACTGTGCAAAATGAAAACAAAACTTAAAGATCTGGAAAATTTTTTGTACAAACTAAGAAGACACGTCCTAGAATTGTGACCAAGGATGTGACTACGCATAAGAAACCAAAAATCTCCACAGGTGGACCAATGAACGATGTCATGGTAGAGAAAAGATTGAAGTTGTGAAGGATTTCATTTTATTTGGATCCACAATCAATGCCCATAGAAGCTGTAGTCAAGAAATCAATTGGGTAAATCTGCTGCAGATGGCCTGTTTCAAAATATTAAAGAGGAATAAAGTACACCTAACTCAAGCCATGGTGTTTTCAGTCAACTCATTTGCATGTGAAAGCTGGACAAGGAATAAGGAAGACTGAAGAAGAATTGATGCATTTAAATTATGGTTGGAGAAGAATATTGAATGTACCATGGACTGCCAGGAGAATGAACAAATCTGCCTTGGAAGAAGTGCGGCCAGAATGTTCCTTAAATGGAAGGATGGTAAGGCTTCTTCTCTTGTACTTTGGTCATGTTACCAGGAGGGACCAATCCCTGGAGAAGGATATCATGCTTGGTAAAGTAGAGGGTCAGTGAAAAAGAGGAAGACCCTCGGTGAGATGGATTGACACAATGGCTGCAACAGTGGGCTCAAATGTAGCAACGATGACGAGGACGGCACTGGAGCAGGCGGTGTTTCCTTCTGTTGTTCATTGGGTTGCTGTGAGTTGGAACTGAGCACGGCAGCTCCTAACAGCAATAAGGAAGACATCTGATGGCCTTCTGTAAATTCTCCTGTCTTGTGGGTGTGGTGTATGTTGACATATAAAATGTTTGCACACACGTTTACACAATTCTTTTTATAAGTTGCCTTGTGTCATCATTAGTTCTCCTAAAGATTTTGAAGAAGAGGCAGAAAACTAAAGAAGACAGCTGGTTAAAAAGATACACAGAGTATATCAAAGAAGAGATGTTAAAATAACCACAGCACGTAAACAGCATGGAAGCATTCGGAAACGTTTGGACTTTACTGGCAACTGTAATCAGAGGTTGTTTAAAGAGGTTCCAGCACATGCTTAGCTCTGGCTTAATTATTCACATAAAAGTTTGTGTGCCATGTTGCCAACTCCCAAATCTTCTTTTTCATTGTAATTTTGCCAAGTTTAATTAGAAGGCTGACTTCAGCACTCCACACTTTCACATGTAAGCAGGGGATGGGGAGGGAGCGTTCGGTTCTGGCACAACCCGCTTGTCACTCAGCGCCCTGAAATTTGGAAGATGTTAAGTTTTTTGAGACACAAGCAGCTGCTTAACTCCGGGGAGGAATGGAAAATTGCTTTAATTGAGAAGCCATTAGTGAGAGAGGGAAGCTGGCGGCTGGCTTCTGCTTTTATCTGAATCACTGAGGCTTACACAGAAGTTCATCTTTGACCCCGCTTTCTTCTGTGGTATGTGTAGGTTAAAGAATCCTTATCTATGAAAGGAAAATACAGTTGCCTCTTACCTGCCACTTATAAAAGAAGAAAAAGGAGCTGTCATGGTGGTATTCTCGAACAGTAGAAATAAACGTTCCCTACCATGAAGCCTAAGCCAGACTCTGCAAACACCTGGAACAGGCTTCCTTTGTTCCTGTCTCACCGCTACCCTGGTTTCCATGGAAGCGGGGTGACTCTGGAAAATGTTTAGGAGGGAGACACAGTTTGTCTTCAAACCCCAACCTCCTGTTAGCCTCTTCCTCTCCCTCCTTGAACCCCTCCCATTGGTGCCTTTTTTTTCCTCAGCACCTTCACTGCCACCCCCTGCACACTTATTGAAATTATCCTCGAAGAGCAACTGACATCAGATATTCATATTAGTGTGGATTCAAGTGAGAGTTCCCTTGTCCATCTGTTATGTATGTGTTAAGCTTTTTCTCATAGCATCCAATGAAAGCTTTTCAAGAATCAGATTTTGTGTGTGTGTGTGTGTGTGTGTGTGTGTGTGAGGGAGGGGGAAGGAAAGGGGATGGGCCATGTGGCAGAATTGACCCTGCAATCATGAGAATTCTTTACTCTGGTTATTGAGTGAATAACTATGTGGGTGCCCCATTTGCTTGATCAGCCAGCCCTGGTTGTCTCATGTTTTGATTGTTTTATAACTAAGTATTTCATTTCTATGTCTTCTCTAATTGCACCTTGAAAGAGTGAATAATTAGCAAGAACTTTCTTTTTCAAAGGCCCCTGTGTAGTGCAGATGGTTGCTCTCAACTGCTACCCTAAAGGTTAGTAGCATATGGAAAAAAGGCCTGGCAGTCTGCTTCCGTAAAAATTACAGCCAAGAAAGCCTTATGGACAGTTCTAATCTGTAATGTATTGGGTCGCCAGAAGTTGGAGTCAACCTGACAACGCGCTTATGTATTTTTGTATAATTTCTTTATCAGTGCTGTGACAGAAATGGGAGCTCTGGTGGCATAGTGCCTAAGGCATTTGACTGGCAGCCATAAGGCTGGTGGTTCAAGCCCCCCAGCCACTCCTCAGAAAAAAGGTTGGGTGATATACTTCCGTAGTGATATATACCACCTCGGAAACCCAAGGCAGGGTTGCTGTGAGTCAGATCCGACTCAACGGCAGTGAGTTAGAGTTATGACAGAAATACTACAAACGAATGTCTTTAACAAGCAAATATATTTTCTCACAATTGAAAAGTCCAAATCATGGTGCAGTCTCTAGGGAAGGCTCTCTTCTTCTGCTCTGGGGGAATATCCTCATCTCAGCTTCTCTGGCTGGCCAGCCTTGGAGTTCCTGGCCTTGTAGATTGGCAGCCTCTCCCATCTTCAGACAGTGTTGGTCTTCCCCATGTCTTCTTCTGTGCACCTGTATCTCAAAGTGATTGACTTAAAACAGACCCTGTGCTGATAATGCCCTCATTGACGTAACAAAGAAAACCTGTTCTCAAATGGGTTTATATCCATAGGTTTTGGGCTTTAGGACTTCTAACACATATTTGGGGTGATGCCATTCAGTCCATAACAGATACATACTGGAATATTTACCGGTCAAATGATAGGGTGTTTAGAATTTGCTTCCGACTGATGGGGGAAGCAGGAGAGGAAGTGGGCTGTAGTGATGAGTTAACGATAACTGAGGTTGGGTGATAAATGCACAAGGGCTCATTATGCCATCCTCTCTACTTTTATATGCTTGAAACTTTCCATAATAAAAAGTTATGTATTTAATCGTAGTCGAGTTTAACAGGAGGAATTCTAAGAGAATTAGAGATTTCTTTAAACTCAGAAAAAAATTAATTCAAGCATTAAAGTTACCAAAAAACAGGCAATGTCTTGGAATCACATGTGACTACAACACGGAGTGGTTTAAAAAGTGAAAGGGAAGGAAAAGCCAGAAAAACCTCCAAAAGTAGTTTGTGGTTCTTTTACAAAATGTAATTTCATTTTAGATTTGACAAGAGCTGATCATTTCTTGGCCTTGAGTTAGTTATTCTTACTGACAGTCTTACAATCAAAAATCTAAAAACCTAGTTTCTACTACTCACCTACTCATCTATATAAATCTTTCCCTTGTGCATCTGTTGATAATTTGTCAGAGACTTTAAAATCATCCCAAAACATTACTGGTTGTGTCTCATAGAAAACTAGGTATTGTCCAGTTTCCCATTGCAGATGATGTGATTCAGTGGTCTCTGCATGTTTCATTCTCTCTGAATTATTTTACAACTTGGTAAATTGTAGGTAAATTGTTCTCAGAGACACATACGTGAATGAGCTGTTCGCTGGAGGGACAGCTGATTCCCTTACCCGCTCATCGTGATGGAAGAAGCCAGTTTTGTTTCTGTTTGTGGATTCACACCAGCATTCCTGATTGGGAGTGTGGTGCTTTTACTTGTCCTTTGAATCAGTTATAGTATCTTACTGACTTCCTCACTGATTAATAAGTTTAAATATAATCTTGGACAATAGTCTTTTTTTTTTATTTGCATGGAAGTTGTGATTTTACCTTTTTGAAAGCATATCCTTTAGCAGCAGAAAATACGATTTTTTTCTCAAAACTTGATAAGATGATTAGGCATCTGGAAGACTAAGATGGCCACAGAAATCAAAAGAGCTACTAGGGAACTGGGAATATGATCATACAAAAGGCAAGGACCCCCATCGGTTCAATATTTCAAAAAAACATTTTGTGCCAGATGAACACGAGGGTCCCTACCCTGAAGGAACTCAGTGGGTGATAGATAAACAGAAAATGTCACCATGCTTTGGTAAATGCTGCAGGGGAGGTAAGTATTGGGTGTGTGCAAGCCCACACACCTGGGAGCTCAAAGAAGGGCCCTTGAAGGAAATAAAGCCTAAATTCAGACTCAAGGGATGTAGAGTGGCTGTCCAGGGACCAAGGTGGAAAAGACAGTCGGCAAGGGAAATAGCCTGTGAAAAGACCTGGATGTAAAGCCACTGTCTTTACCCTGGACGTACTTCCAACAGGATTCTTACATCCTGATGTTTAAGTTCTTTGTGTTTTTTCTCCCATGCTGCACGTTGGGACTCTGAGCGTCTTGGGGTGGGCACTTCATTTTTGTCTTCGTGTTTGTCTTTGGTTCACTTTGACACCACATGCTCAGTAAATGTGTACTGAATTCACATGAGTTCAAGTGTGTGTGGATTCTCAGTATAAAAGAGGGTAGAGAAAATCGAGGGTCAGCCCAGAGGCACAGCTGGCTGCCACCTGGGCTCAGGAAATAGGCCACATGATTAGAGCAACAGGTTTACAGGCACGAGTGCTGATTCTTTTTATTGTGTTTAAGTGTGTGTTGATTCTGTGCATTTTGGCCCATGAAAGTCTCTTTTGTGTCCTTTCAGAGTGAAGAATTCCACATCTACACCCAGTATTGCACCAACTATCCAAGGTACGGACAGTGGGTAGGCACAGCACTTTGTCCATTTTTGTATTGGTCCAAGTCAGTCCATCCAACATCCTGTGTTGTTGCGGGTATATGCCTGGCACTGTATGGAATACTGTGGGAAAATGCAAAAATGTGAGACCTTCAACTCTGGGGCTTCCAGCAGAGCTTGTAGCCTGGAGTGCCAGTGTAGAGCAAATTGTGAAAGACTTTGAAAGGGATTATAAAGGGCTCCTCAGTGGAAAACTAAATGAACCTGTTGTAGCTGGCTGTAAGCCTTGTCTGTGTACAGTCTTGTAAATCTGGGAGAAATCGCACATTCGGGGCCAGACCACTACAATAAAGCAAGTATTGCAACAAAGTGAGTCACATGATTTTGTTTGTTTGTTTCCCAGGGCCTATAAAAGCTATGTTTACACTGTACTGTAGTCTATTAAGTTTGCAATTGAATCAGTGGGTAAGTACTCCACTACCAAGTTAAGGGTTAGCTGTTTGAACCCATCTAGAGGCACTTCTGAAAGGTCACGTCTTGAAAACCCTGTGGGGTGCAGTTCTGCCCTGCATGGGCTCACTGTAAGTCGGACTAGACTTGATTGCATCTAGTGTTAGGCCTTGTTTGTTTGTTTGCTAGTAAGTCCAGATAGTCTCACTGGGAGGAAATGTGTCACGTTTTTGCTGTGAGTTTTATGGAGCTCAGAGAAAGGACAGATCACTGGGAGCTTGTGTGAGCAGAGGATACCTAGTCCTTTCCTTGGATGATGACTTCAGTGTTGATTACACTGGAGACTAGTGGTAGGAGGAGGACAGCTTAGGAAGTACAGCCTGGAAGATACACTAACCATCTGAGTAAGAGAGTTGGCTCCAAGACCACGGGCCATAACTGTGGGAATTGATTTTTTTCTCCAAAAGACAACTGTTGAGCCATTATTGTGTCCTCAGCATTGTGCTCGGAAATGGTGTTGAGTTTAGCCTTCCCAGCATCCCAGAGACAGAGAACATCCATCACTGTGCCTGGCATCTAATCAGTTCTTAGGAAGTGCCGGTCCATCACCATGCCTGTGTCATCACATTTTATGGATGAAGTAACTAAGGCTCCAGAGAGTGTGTTGATTTTACCAAGGTCACATAGCTGACAACTGGCCAAGCTAAGACTTGAACCTACATTTCCCCAACCTCATACTTCATGCTGCTACATCCTATAAAGTTTCTGAAGCTTTGGACACCCCTCTCCCCCAACTCATGTCTTTTCACTGGGTTTCTCCACATTATTAGCAAAACTTGAGTTCTTAAACGAGGGACCAGCCAGGAAGAGGAGAGCTGGGGAGATTGTACCCACTCAGTAGCCAGTCCTGATAGAGAAGAATCCCAAGGGGAGTGAGTGGCGGAATCTCTCAGAAGAGAGGCAAGCTGGCTGAGCCTCTAGTGCAACTTTGGGGAGAATGGGCAGCCCTACAAGGAGATGGCCCCAAGAAGCCAGCTTAGATATGAGAAGGCCTGTGAGACCAGAGGTCCAGGCTTTACCAGCCCATTGAGTTAACTCCAACACATGTTGACCCCATGTGTCGCATAGGACTATGCTCCTCAGGGATTTCAGTGGCTGATTTCTTGGAGGTAGATCATCAGGCCTTTCTTCGGCAGCTCCTCTGAGTAGACTTGAAGCTCCAGCCTTTGGGCTATGAGCACGTTAACCACGTCCACCACCTGGGGACTCCAGGCCCAGACAGAAAGGCTTTTGTCTCCTCCAGATGTTGGTCAGGGTGTTGTCCCATGGTGATTTGGAGCGTGGTCAACCATGCGTTTCCTAGGTTATCCTACCAAAAAAAAAAAAAAAGACCAGTATGTTTATCACTGTGTCCTTACACATAGACAGCCCATAGTTTAGTTTCACTGAAGTGGTTTTCTCTCTCACCGTATTTGTTTCCACCTCAGTGCTGAATATGTCAGGAAATTAATGTAGATGTGAACTGAAACCCATGGTCCTTGAAACCAGGATTGTACCACACCCTAAATGAGAGATGGCACAGTCAGCTCTCAACTTCTCCACAAAGTTTCTTCTGGAAGAAAAGGAAAAAAACATTCAAACTCTGAGGAATCAGCACATTTCTGGACCCAATGATCAGATTCTGGGTCACTGGAGGGACTTGGGGGGAGGACTGGATTATATTGATGGAGATTTCATGATGAACATGCCATTTGAAGAAATAACTTCTTAACGTAAACTTCCAAACTACAAATGTAGGAGATATTCCTGAGTTACTGAGCAAAGGAGATACAGGTATGCCTCGTTTTATTGTGCTTGACAGGTACCATGTGTTTTGCAAATTGAAAATTTGTGGTATCCCTTTGTTGAAGGAGTCTATCGGTGCCATTTTTTCAACAGCATTTGCTCACTTCATGTCTGTGTCACATTTTGGAAATTCTTAAAATATTTCACGCTTTTTCCTAACACTATTGCACACTTATTAGACTCTACAGTATACTATAAACATACCTTTTAGATGCACTGGGAAACCAAAACATTCTTGTGACCTGCTTTATTGTGATATTCTGTTGTGATGGTCGGGAACCGCACCTGCAGTATCTCTGAGGTCAGAGATGAAGACAATGAAGGCAACCCTTTCTGTGTTGCCACAAGGTCAAGGAGAGGAGATAGGATTTGCATAAGAACTTTGGTCAGAGTCTGTCATGGACACGAACTGTTGGGCAGCACTGACAGTTAAGTGCTTGACTGCTAGCCGAAAGGTTGGCATTTTGAACTCACCCAGAGGTGTCTGAGAAGACAGACCTGGCGACCTGCTTCCCAAAGGTCACACCTTGAACACCTCAGGGAGCAGTCGGCTCTGCGCCCAAGGGTTGCATCATGAGTCGGAACCAGCTGGACAGCAACCACCAGCAACCACATGCCTTTGAGCCCTGTTCCAAACTGGTACTTATTGGCAGGAAGTGCCTTCAACAAGTTTATATTGTTTTGAAGGTCAAGGCTCAGCCAAATGCAGTTGTGGAATAGCATGTTAGGGAAGACTGTTGTCAATAAATACAGATTAATGTAGTCCACAGTGCCATGTAATAGCACCTGAAGATACGTGGGGAATGGGAGTAAGACGTCTCAGTGAGGAGAGTCAAGGACAGTGTCCTGGAGGAAATTTTATTTTTCTTCTGATGCCGACCTTGAAGTGATAGGACTCCTTGGGTGGTGTAAACAGTCGACACTGTCGGCTGCTCGCTAGAAAGTTGGAAGTTTGAGTTCACCCAGAGGCACCTTGGAAGAAAGGCCTCATGATCTTCTTCCAAAAAATCAGCCTTTGAAAACCTTGTGAAGCATAGCTTTACTCTGACATGGAGTTGGCCAGGAGTCAGAATCAACTCATGAGCAACCCATTTGTTGTTGTTGCTGTTGGTGTTTTTCAAGATGTAAAGAAATGTATGGTAGCAGAGAGAGGCTGGAGACCAAGGGGGTCAAGTTCTTGGCCTGGTGTGTGGTCTTCTTTCTCACAGGGAAGGATTTTCTCTTGCCCTTTCGTCTCCAGTCCATTTGCCCTCTGAGGCCACACTTCCCTTACCTCAGGAGAGCCAGCTGTTGCAGCTCACCTGACAGTTTCCTTCCCTTTGAATCCAAGGATGGTGACACTCAGTGCCACCAGCCCACCTTGACAGATGTCCACCTTTTTCATACCATTCACACCCCAGTGACTTCACTTTGAAGAGGCTCAGGCCTCCCCTTGTTCCCCCAGGAGGTACACGAACACGGCCAGCACATTGTCCTCAGATGCCTCCATGCACTAGAGCCTCCTTCGAGAACCCAGGCTCAGTTTCGAGGGTTGATTGCAGGTTTTTATTCTTGGGCCAGTGCTCATGGCTTCAGAAAGCCAGAGGATTGGTAGGCAGCTGATTGGATTCTAAAGGACTTTACCGACTCTCCTAGGTTCCAAGCTGAAGAACCTGAGGCATAGAAGAATCATTTTGAAATCTCACCTTGAGTACATCAGTTTGAAGCAGATGGGCAAAAAAAGGAATTCTAATAGCTTAATTATGAAGCTTCCATTAGCTTCCTCCCAAAGAGTCTTAATGTGCTTTTTGGCTCTATCTGATTTTCTGAATTAATCTTGGAAATTTATCACTGACTCGGGGAAAAGGGAACTGAGATTATTTCCATCTGCGTCCTCCAAGTTGTGAAGACCATGAGGTAGCCGTTTCTGGACGTAAGTGTATGTGTGCCTGCACAGACACACTAGCTTGCATTATGTATAACACACAAGTGTTGCTTCAACCATCCTTTTACGATGTTTTGGGGCTAAACTTATTTCCTTTGGGAGAGCTGAGATAGGGAAATAATTTTGACCTGCTTCTCTGATGCACTGCAGTAAGGCCTCTGGCCTAAGAGGCAAGGTGATCTCACCTTTTCATAAGCCAGGTCTATGAATGGAGAGAACCACCTGGAGGTGGGAAGGAGATCCATTCAGAGATACTCTAGGGAGGCTGACCTGTGGGAAGAGCCCTAAGGAGGGCCACCGCGTACGAGTGTGCAATGGATGCATGACACAGAGGTGACCCACAGAGGGAACAAGTGTCCCAACGTGGGGCTGTGTCTCCCAAGAAGCTGGTGATGGCTGGCAGCCGCTGGCCCCATCACGGCAAACCCGTGTACAACAAAATGTGTGGCCCTGCCCCTCCCCCTGATCATCTATGGATTCAACCATTGTGATCCAGTGGGTTTGCGTGGGCTGAAGTTCCGAAGCAGACTGCCAGCCCTTTCTTCCTAGTCCATCTTAGTCTGGAAGTGCCACTGAAACCTGTTGAGCGTCATGGCAGCATGCAAGTCCCCCTGACACACGGGTGGCGGTGGTGCACGTGAGCCGCACTGGCCGGGAATCAAACCTGGGTCTCCCACACGGGAGGCAGGGGTTCCACCGCTGAACCGCTTCTGCTGGGAGAGCAGCTCCTGTTTCTCAGAACAGGGGCACCAGCTGTGTACATCTGACCTGGGCGAGCAGACCTCCGACGAGCAGGTTGAGCGCTACACAAGGCCTCCAGGCTGGGGGGCAGCTGGGGGCTGAATCCAGCTCGGGTCTCCTTGGCCATGCGTCTGCGCCTGGGGGTGGGGGACTGCATCCTCCACAAGGAAAACCGTTCCTCGACATCGTGTGCCTGTGGCACTGCCTCCCCTGGGTCTGGGGCCTTCTTCAGCCACCTGCAGGGACACCCTGAATTTGCTTTCCAGCCCAGCTAGAGCTCTGTAGCTCCCCTGCCTGTTGGACAGCATTTATGCTTATGCCCCCCTTGAATGCTTTAATATCCATGCTAAGCATTATGATTCAGGTTTACGAAAAAACAACAACTATTTCTTCTTCTTGCAGATCGGTGGCGGTGCTAACAGAGTGTATGAGGAACAAGGTGCTGGCCAAGTTCTTCAGGGAGCGGCAGGAGGCCTTAAAGCACTCTCTGCCCCTGGGCTCCTACCTGTTGAAACCAGTCCAGCGGATCCTCAAGTACCATCTCCTTCTGCATGTGAGCTGCTGCACCACTTGAGTGCTTTCCAGGGGATGGGGATTCCGTGTATAGATGCTAAGGTTGGAGAGAAAATATCTTGGAAAAGGCAGCGGACATATGGAACTGTTTTCCACGCTCATACTTTACAGCTGACTAATCTGCTTTGAGGAATTAGAGATATTTATATGCGAGGCCTGCAGCCCCATTGACAAGAGCCAAGTAAAAAAGATTAATTTTAGCTCTGATTCTGATAGGACTTAGGAGGGCCTCACACTGGGTAGTGACAGTTTAGGGCAGCGAGCTGTCATCTAAATGAGAAGCAGCTGTGTTTTATTTCATTTCTGTGAGCCCAGATTCAGTAGGCTGTTGGGATGGAAAGTTATTTGTGACAGACTGACACTCACATGAGAGCAAAGAGGAGGAGCTGAAAGGGAGAGGACAGATGCAGTGATGAAGGATCTTTGAGCTGGTCTTAGGATCATTTCAGGATGTCTTTTCTTCATGTTATTTCCCATTCGTTTCTATAGTCCCTGGGTGGTGCTCACAGTTAGTGCTTAGCTGCTAACAAAGGTTGGAGGTTCAGTTCCACACAGGGGTGCCTGGGAAAAAAGGCCTGGTGACCTCTGAAAAGTCAGCCTTGAAAACCCTGTGGAGCACAGTTCTGCTCTGACACACGGGTCACCTCGAGGCAGTGTCAGCTTGACGGCAGCTGGTCAGTTTCCACAAACTGCAAGCAGGCTTTAGGAACGAAGGCATCCTCCTGCCTTGCCCTTTCAGGGCATTTGTGACAGGTCCTTGGGTGGCACAGATGGCTGCTCTCAGCTACTAACCAAAAGGTTGGCAACTTGAAGCCAGCCAGTGCACTGTGGGAGAAAGCCTTGGCCGTCTGCTTCTGTGACGATTACAGCCCAGAAACCCCTAGGGACCTCAGGTCCACCCCATAACAGTGGGGTTGCCATGGATTGGAAGCAGCTTGCTGGCAATGGGGGTGGCTTTTCAAGTTTTTAAGAAAGTTTGGACAAATGGAAAGTGATCAAAAGTTGTCTTCACTCACTCATTTCCCTTTGCAACATGTGAAAGACAGTAGAGAGTGCCTGGGGCAGGGCTGTGTCTGTGTTCAGATCCTGTAATGTGCCTGTATTCACTGTGCCTCACGGGCACCAAACAGGGGGCTTCTTTCTCTTTTCTTTTTCTGCTGCAGTACGTTCCTTTCTTCAAGATCGTAGAACCCATTTTCATCCAGAGCTCCTTTCCATGTCCACATGCCTCTATCTCTTTTTAAACGATTCCAGGTTTCTAACTTGGGTAATCATTTCCGTTTTCACACGCATTTAAAGTTTTAGAAACTTGTATCATGCAGCTTTACCCAACATGTCTCACCTTCGTCTGTTTGCCTGGGAAGCTCAACTCGTCTTGGGAGTATTTCCATGCCATGGAGCCATGTTGGGTCTTTTACTTCATTATTTAAATTGATCCTAATCTCCTCTTAGATTAAGTGGGTTCAATTTGCTAAATCAGTTCTTTAATGTGAAATAATACTGATCCCTGTTGATCTCTGCTAAATACGATCTCTGAGACTTGTGTCTGTGTGTTGAGTGCCGTCAACTCAACCTTGACTCACAGCGACCCTGCAGGACAGAGTAGAGCTGCCTCAGAGGATTTCCTAGGCTGGAATTTTTACAGGAGCAGATCACCACGTCTTTTCTCCTGCAGAACTGCTGGTGGGTTCAAGTTGCCAGTCGTTTGTGTTTCCCAATCTCTAGTTATGGCTTTCCAGACAGTAAAGTGACACGCATGTCAGATAGAACAAATCAAGAGCCTTAGCAAAAGTTACGAGCCCAGGTCTCAGAGGCTGCTTTTCCATTGGGTGTGGCACTATACTAAGGGCAGGGCCTGAGGTAGGCGGGCCTGGGGCTCGGAGTCTGCTTTTCGATTGGGTGTGACTCTGTATTAAGGCCGGGCCCTGAGGTAGGCAGGTGCAGAGTAGTTAGGAAGAACCAAGGGAGATGAACTTGTCTGTCAGTTGGTCGTCCTGTGGTGGCGTATGTGTTGCTGTGAGGCTGGAGGCTATGTCACTGTGTTGCAAAATGCCAGCAGGGTTACCCATGGTGGAGAGGTGTCCGTGGAGCTTCCAGGCTTATAAGACGCGGAAGAAGGAAGAGGCCATCCACTTCTCAAAGGATTGGCCAGAGAAAACCTTATGAGTAGCAGTGAAATACTGTCTGATATATTACAGGAAAACTTCATGAACAGCCCTGAAGCATTGTCCAACATAGTGCCAGAAGATGAGTCCATCCGGTCAGAAGGCACTCAGAATTTGACTGGGAAAGAGCTGACTCCTCAGAGTAGAGACGACCTTAACAATATGGACAGATTAAAGCTTTCAGGACCTCCACTGGCAGAAGTGGCATGGCTCAAAATGAGTAGAAACAGATGTAAACATCTATTAATAATTGGAACATGGAATGTATGAAGTATGAATCTAGGAAAATTGGAAGTTGGCAAAAATGAAGTGGAACCCACAAAAATCGGTATCCTGGGCATTAGTGAGCTGAAATGGACTGCTTTGGGCCATCTTGAATCAGACAACCATATGATCTACTATGCCGGCAATGACAAACTGAAGAAGAATGGTGTGGCCTTCACAAAGACTGTTTCAAGATCTATCCTGAAGTACAGTGCTGTCAGTGATAGGATGATATCCATACACCTACAAGGAAGACCAGTCAATACTACTGTTACCCAAATTTATGCACCAACCACCAAAGCCAGTGAGGATAATGAAGATTTCTACCAACTTCTGCAGTCTGAAATTGACCAAACATGCAATCAAGATATGTTGATTATCACTGGTGACTGGAATGCAAATGTTGGAAACAAAGAAGAGTTGCCAGTAGTTGGAAAATAGGCATTGGTGATAGTAATAACACTGGAGATTACATGATAGAATTTTGCAAGACCAACAACTTATTCATTGCAAATACCTTTTTATAAAGAAGTCCATGAGAACCAAAATATGACCTTGATAATACCCGTCCTGAATTTAGAGACTGCTTAAACAATAGATTTGATGCATTGAACACCAGTGACCGAACACCAGAAGAATTGTGGGCTGACATCAAGAACATCATCCATGAAGAAAGCAAGAGGTCATTAAAAAGAGAAAACAGAAAGAAAAGACCAAAATGAATGTCAGAAGAGACTCTGAAACTTGCCCTTGAATGGGGAGTAGCTAAAGCAAATGGAAGAAATGACAAGATAAAAGAGCTGAACAGAAGATTTTGAAGGGCAGCTCGAGCAGACAGAGCCAATTACTATGATGAAATGTGCAAAGACCTGGAGTTAGAAAACCAAAAGGGAAACACAAGCTTGACATTTCTCAAGCTGAAAGAACTGAGGAAAAAATTTAAGCCTCGAGTTGCAATATTGAAAGATTTCTGTGGATGAAACATTGAATGATGCAGGAAACATCAAAAGAAGATGGAAGGAATACACAGAGTCACTGTACCAAAAAGAACTGGTTGGTGTTCATCCATTTCATGAGGTAGCATATGATCAAGAGCCAATGGTACTGAACAAAGAAGTTGAAGCTATGCTGAAGGAATTGGCAAAGAACAAGGATCCAGGAATTGGCAGAATATCCACTGAGATGTTTCAACAAATGGATGCTACACTGGAGGCACACACTTATCTATGCCAAGAGATTTGGAAGACAGCTACCTGGCCAACAGACTGGAAGAGATCCATATTTGTACCCATTCCAAAGAAAGGTGATCCCACAGAATGTGGAAATTATCTAACAATATCATTAATATCACATGCAAGTAAAATCTTACTGAAGATCTTCAAAAACGGTTGCAGCAGTAAATTGACAGAGAGCTTCCAGAAATGCAAGCTGGATTCAGAAGAGGGTGTTGAACAAGGGATATCATTGGTGATGTCAGATGGATATTAGCTGAAAGCAAAGAATACCAGAAAGATGTTTGCTTGTGTTTTATTGACTGTGCAAAAGCATTTGATTGTGTGGGTCATAACAAATTGTGGATAACATTGAGAAGAATGGGAGTTCCAGAACACTTGATTGTACTCATAAGGAACCTGTACACAGACCAGGAAGCTATCATTCAAACAGAACAAGAGGACACTGCATGGTTCAAAATCAAGAAGTAACTGCATTAATGTTGTATCCTTTCACCATACTTACTCAACTTGTATGCTGAGCAAGTAATCTGAGAAGCTAGATTACATGAAAAAGAATGTAGCATCAGGAATGGAGGAAGACTTATTAACAACCTGCGTTACGCAAATGACACAACTTTGCTCACTGAAAGTGAGATGACTTGAACCACTTAAAGATGAAGATTAAAGACTACAGTCTGCAGTATTGATTACACCTCAATATAAAGAAAACAAAAGCCTTCACAAATGGTCCAATAAACAGCTTCATGGTGGATGGAGAAAAGATTGAAGTTGTCAAGGATTTCATATTACTTGGGTCTGCAGTTCACACCAATGGAAGCAGCAGTCAAGACAGCAGACAACGTATTGCATTGGGCAAATCTGCCACAAAGGACCTCTTTCAAGCGATGAGGAGCAAAGATGTCTCCTTGAAGACTAAGTTGCGCCTAACTCAAGCCATGGTATTTTTAATCACCTCTTGTGCACATGAGAGCTGGACAATGAAGAAGAGTTGATGGTTTTGAGTTGTGTTGGAGGAGAATGCTAAGAGTGCCATGGATTGCTAAAAGGACTAACAAATCTGTCCTGAAAAAAGTACAGCCAGAATGCTCCTTGGAATCGAGAATGGCCAGACTTTGTCTCTTTGGTCTACTTTGGTCATGTTGTCAGATGGACCATTCCCTGGAGAAGGATATCATGCTTGGTAAAGTGGAGGGTCAACGAAGAAGGGGAAGGCCCTCAACGAGATGGATAGACACAGTGGCTGCTATGATGGGCTCAGGTATAGCAAGGATCATGAGGCTGGCATAGGACTGGGCAGTGTTCCGTTCTGCTGTATATAGCATCACCATGAGTTGGAGCAGACAGCACCTAACAACAACAAGCAAAAGTTAATTGGTAAGAAAAACTGCCATTGCTCATCTGTGTTGAGAGCTGAAAAAGAACAGTGGTTGGGTGAATCCACAGCTAACTTCTGGTTGCCTTTGAAGTATTGTTGCATTTATGGTGCAAGTAGGGGTTTCCCCCTGTGAATCTTGCCTCAAAGTCTGACAGTCATTTGTGACGACCCCCACAGGAGTCTGCCCTCTTCTACACAGTCTGTTCACTGATGAACAGGAGTGCCTCACAGACTAAGAGAAGGGCAAGGACAAAAGAGAAAACTATTCTTTCTTCCTACTATATTTGCTGTTTGTCTTGAACCTACCTGGAAGGTGTTAGTTAAGTGGTGTGGTTTCGATGGCATTTTCTAACACTGGATCTGAGGATGGAAGTAAAATATTGATTGCCTTCCAGTCTCTGTTTAGGTGCAAAACTTGAGTGCCTACTAAAAATAAATGATAATGTAATAGCTCTTAGTAAGTTCTGCCTTAAGTGTCCACTTCCGCTCCTTAGCTAAATGAGTATATATTAGGTTTTATCTAATTGACTATTGTGTTCTCTTACTACTTCAGATCCTTATATGATTGCTCTTGTTGTTTAGCAGGTATTGCTTCAATTCTGCCAGCATGTATTAGCTTTCCCATCTTCTGCTGTGAACTATGGATAAGAGAAAAAGGATCAAAGGTACCGGGAAGTAGTCCCCATCTCTAGATCCTTGAGAAGGGTAGGCATCTGTGTCCTCTGTGCTCAGAAGAATTGGAGCAGAGCTGGGTGTCATGCTGGTTTCTCTGGAAGGATAGAATCTTAGCTAAGTGCTAACAGAACAGACCCCTGACCATCCGAGTGTTGAGTACTTGAACTACACAGTTTCTTAACTCTGAAGGCTTGTCCTTAGTGAGCTTCTTTTGAGCTTCATGAAAATTGTCTACATGGAAATGCACTTGACACAGAGGCAGTTTTTAAAAACACAGTATCTGTTGTATTTCTGAGTCTGTTTTATATTAAGTCCTGTATGAAAAGTTTTGCTTCTTCAGGGGGAAAGGGGTACTATGTTCTTTGTCTTGTAAGAGTAAGAGTTGTATTACTGCAAGCCCTCTTACCTTGGCCACCAGAAAGCTCAACTCTCCAACTGTATAACTATGATATATGATACCAATTATATATTGATATATATGGTATCAATTATAGTAATACCTTTGTGAGCTGTAAATGGCACACTGTTGTTGTTAGGTACCGTCAAGTCGTCTCTGACTCATAGTGACCCTGTGCACAGCAGAACAAGACACTGCCTGGTCCAGCTCTACAATCCCTGCTATACCTGAGCCCATCACTGTAGCCACTGTGTCAATCCACCTTGTTGAGGGCCTTCTCTTTTGTCGATCCTCCACATTACCAAGCGTGATATTCTTCTCCAAGGAATAGTCTCTTCTGACAACATGACCAAAGTAGGTGAGATGAAGTCTGGCCATTCTCGCTTCCAAGGAGCATTTTGGCTGCACTTCTTCTAGGACGGATTTGTTAGTTCTTTTAGTAGTCCATGGTACTTCCAGCATTCTTTGCCAGCACCGCAATTGAATTGACTCCTCTTCGGTCCTCCTTATTCATTGTCCAGCTCTCACATGCATATGAAGTGATTGAAAATACCATGGCTTGTGTCAGGGGCACCTTAGTCTTCAAGGAGATATCTTAGCTCTTCATCACATGAAGGAGGTCTTTTGCAGCCGATTTGCCCAGTGCTGTACGTCGTCTGATGTCCTAACTGCTGCTTTCATTGGCATTGATTGTGGAACCAAATAATATGAAGTCTTTGACAACTTCAGTCATTTCTCCATTTATCGTGATGCTGCTTATTAGTCCACTTGTGAGGATTTTTGTTTTCTTTATATTGAGGAGTAATTCATATGACCAACTGTAGTCTTCAGTCTTCATCAGTATTTCTAGTAATCCTCACTTTCAGCAAGCAAAATGGCATACATGTTTTGTTTTATCCTCTGTCCTGAAATTGTATTTTTATTTTTGTTTCCTTTTACTTTTTAATTTTAATCTATTTTTATTTTTCCAAGCCCTGTTTTTAAAAGCGCTCTGGTGGTATAATGCCTAAGGCATTTGACTGCTAACCAGAGGGCTGGCAGTTCAAACCCACTAGCTGCTCTGCAGAAGGAACACTGGGCAATCTACTTCCATAAAGATTTACCACCTCAGAAACCCAGAGGGGTTGCTATGTGTCGAAATCGACTCAGTGGCAGTGAGTTTGGTTTGGTTGCTTTTTATTCCTACCTAACCCTTTGGTTATAGGTATTTCTGGCAAGTTAACTCAAAATCTTAAGAAATGATGATCATATGTAAATAAATAAGCAAAAATAAAGTATGAGAAAGTAAAAATGGAGGTATAGAGCCCTGATGGCACAGTGATTAAGCACTCAGCTGCTAGTTGAAAGGTTGTCAGTTTGAACCCACAAGCTGCTCCACGGAAGAAAGATGAGCCAGTCTGGTGCCATGAAGATTGCAGCCTTGGAAACACTGGGGGTGGGGGCAGTTTTCCTGTGTCCTGTTGGCTCTCTGTGAGTCAGAAGCAGCTCGAGGCAGTGGGTTTAATCATGGAGGCATGATTTGCTTCATTGGTTGTATGGGGAAAATTTGAAACCCCCCCTTTTTTTCTTTGAAGGAAATAGAAAACCACCTTGACAGTGACACAGAAGGCTACGATGTGGTGCTTGAGGCCATTGACACGATGCAGCGGGTGGCCTGGCACATCAACGACATGAAGCGCAAGCATGAGCATGCGGTCCGCTTACAGGTGAGCCCATGGCACGTCAACAACAAGCAGGTTTTTGGGGTGTGTTTCCCCGGTCAAGTGCTACCGTAAGACCACTTCGTATCAAGTTGGTTCTGACTCATAGCAGGAGCCCATGTGTGTCAGAGTGGAGCTGTTGCTCCACGGGGTTTTCAGGGGCTGTCTTTTCAGAAGTAGATCACCAGGACTTTCTTCCAAGGCACCTGTGGGTGGACTCAAACCACCAACCCTTCGGTTAGCAGCCTAGCACATTAACCATGCACACCGCCCAAAGAACATCCCAGAAACTCAGATGTGAGAATGTCAAGGGAAGGATGCCTGTCAAATCTTGCTCAACTGACATACTTCTCAGAAATGTTGTTCTACATCCTACTTTGGTGAGTAGCAACTGGGGTCTTAAAAGCTTGTAGGAGGCCATCTAAGATGCAACAATTGGTCTCTCCTCATCTGGAGCAAAGAAGAATAAAGAAAACCAAAGGTGCATGGAAATAATTAGTCCTAGGGACTAGTGGACCATGTGAACCTCAGCTTACATGACTCTTGAAACCAGAAGAACTAGATGGTGCCCAGCTACCAGTCAGCCACTCAGAAGGGGATCAAAATAGGAGCTCCTAGAAAGAGTGGGAGGATAACAAAACTCAAAATCATAAACAAGACCAGGCTTACTGGTCTGATAGAGACTGGTGAAACTCCGAGACTATGGTCCCTAGTCACCCTTCAGGCCTGGAATTGAGCTCACTCAATTCTAGCCAAGCAATAGATAGGGCTTTTACACCAGGTAGGTACACTTCTTAGAACAGTCGGCCATGGGAGACTGGAAGGGCAGTATTTGCACAGGGAGGTAGCTCAGAGGGCAGGAATGCATAGGAAAGAAGGACAGAGGGAAAAGGTAGCCACAGGGAGGAAGTGGGAAGAGATTGCTGTCAATATCTTAAAACAAAATGTGTATGAACTGCTGTATGGAAAGTGAACTGCTATATGAAAAATGGATTTGCTCTGTAAAGTTTCACCCAAACCACAATTTAAAAAACAGTAAAACCCATGGCTGTTGAGTGGATCCGACTCATAGCGACTTCTCCTTGAGTTCCCGAGGCAGTATCCCTACGGAAGTAGATTGCCAGATCTTTTTTGCGAGGAGTGGCTGGTGGGTTTGAACTGCCAGTCTTCTGGTTAGCAGTCAAAAACAATAATAATAATAAATTAAAAAGGAAGATGCCTGTCTGGACGAGTCACAGACCAGCCTCTTTAACTGAGCTTTTGAAAATTGTAGCTGCTCATGGCAGCCATGGCACAGACCCTGTTAAGCACAGAAGTGAGGCATTGGCAGCTGACCAGTGAGCCTCCTGATTCGATTCTGTTCACCTGGGAGTGACACCAGCCATCAGCGGGGCACCTGCTGTGGATCACTAGCAGCCATTCCTTTTTTTTTTTTTTTTTTTTTTAAGAGTTTGTTTTACATTCAACATGATGTGTACATTTAGTTTCACTCCCTATTTACCGTGTCCAACCCTAACCCAGTCTCCTCCTCTCCATACCCTGTAACCCTCCCCCTGTGCCCCTCCTATTTATGCACTCCTGTTTGTCCTGCATTTCCTCAATTTGAATGTTGGTCCTCTGGTGCCGCATGGGCTGTTGCTCTAAAAGATGTATTACCATAGAGTTTGTGGATGTGTCATCCAGGCTTGAGTGGTCTACATGTATGTCTTGTTAACTTGGGCTGAGAGCCAGTCCCTGGGGGTGTGTTTTATTCCAGGCACAGAATGTATTCCAGGGCCATGGTATTGGGGGTCTCACCAGATTTCATCTGGCCAGTAATTCTGGTCATTATTGAGATTTTGGATTTTGTTCCATGTTTTTCCTCCCACTTTATCCAGAATCTCCAGATTTGATCCTTTCCTGAGTGGTTGGCATTGCTTGAGGCTCAGGCATTTGCACCCCTGATGCCTTGGGGCCTTGGTTTCCCACCTCCTTTAATCACATGTGATCTCCATTCTCTCAGGAGATACAGAGTTTGCTCACTAACTGGAAGGGGCCAGACCTGACCAGCTATGGGGAGCTGGTGCTTGAGGGGACCTTCCGGATCCAGAGGGCCAAGAATGAGCGGACGCTCTTCCTGTTTGACAAGCTGCTGCTCATCACAAAGAAGAGGGATGACACGTTCACGTACAAAGCCCACATCCTGGTATGTCCGGGTACTGGTCACGGTGAGGACTGGAGATGCCGGTTTGGTTTGCATCTCACCCTCTCTGCTCTCTCTGTCCAGTGTGGCAACCTCATGCTTGTCGAAGTGATCCCCAAGGAGCCACTCAGCTTCAGTGTCTTCCATTACAAGAACCCCAAGCTGCAGCACACCGTTCAGGTAAACAGCCATGTCCTCGCGTCTTTCCAGAGTCTCAGTCATGTAGACTGATGAGCTGTGTGCACCATGTGGTCCCCAAGCTTGTCAGGGGCACAGGAGTGTCTGTGTCTTGTCTGGGGCGGAGGTGTGCGTTGCCTGACTGTCCGCATCTCGTTCCAGGCTAAATCCCAGCAAGATAAGCGCCTGTGGGTGCTGCACCTGAAGAGACTAATCCTGGAGAACCATGTGGCGAAGATTCCTGCAAAGGTAAAACCACAAGCCAACAAGCAGTACCTGAAGGAATTGAAGTCCTAGGAAGGCAGCCTGGCAGGGAAAGGCATTCATTTTCCAAGAAGTGAAGCTGGAGAGGCAGGCTATGTAAGGAGTGACTAAACCAGTTACCTGTATCGAACAGTCACGGGAACGGGAGACTCTGAGGAGGTTTTTTTAATTATTATTTTATTTATTTATTTATTTATTGTGATTTGGGTGAAGATTTACAGAGCAAATTCGCTTTCCATACAGCAGTTCACATATACTTTGTCGCATGTCATTTGACCACAGTTTACCACAATGCAACAGCTCCCCTCCCACTTCTCTCTGAGGAGGTTTTGAGTTTTTTGTTTTTAATTTTAGTCCATTGAGCTTTAAATTAAAAAATAAAAGATTATAAGAAATTTATGGAGAACTGGTAGAAAGGAAAGAGGGCTGTTAGGGTTAGTCAAAGGTACAGTAAGCAGACGTTGGGAGTAAAAGGCTGCTAGGTTCTGTGTAGGAGTTCTAGTGGCATAGTGGATAAGGCACCTTAAATGCTTACTGAAGGTCAATGGTTCAAACCCACCAGTTGCTCTGCGGCAAAAAGACAGGGCAATCTACTTCCATAAGATTTACCCACTGAAAAACCCACTGCCATCAAGTCAAATCTGACTCATAGCAACCCCTGCTTGGATTTCCAAGGCAGTATCATTACAGAAATAGATTGCCCAGTCTTCTTTCTGAGGAGTGGCTGGTCTCAGAAACCCAGTTGAGGTCGCTATGAGTGAGAAATGACTCAATCGATGGCAGTGAGTTTGGTTTTCTTGGCTTAGGTTCTGTGGGAGCACTGGGGAGACAGGACACAGGCTAAGCCATCATGGGATTTGTAGGGAGGAGGCTAGTGTGTAAGCTATCACTGTTAGATATGATGTAATGATGGATGTAAAAGGCAAGTGTCATAGAAGGATGAAGTGTTTGATGACACTTGAGTGAGGAGGGAAAGGGACAGAATTTAGGAAGGAGAATACCTCTGACCTCTCTGTCCAGAAGGCTGAGGAATGTTGGGTTAAGGGGTGGGGTGAGGATGGAGAAAGCTGGCTGCTGGAGCAGCGTAGACAAAAAAGGAGAGACGCACAAGGGGGGCTACGTTGAGGCCACCCCTGGACTGGGACCCGAGTTCTCAGGAATAGGGGTGGGAAGGAGGCTGGGGAAAAGGAGGGAGTCCTCTGCCTGTGAAGGGCTTCAAGCACAGGCACTGAGTGTGTCAGTCAGCATTCTCCAGAGAGAGCCAGTAGGATCAGTCCATCTGTCTGCTCTCTGCACGCATGCATAATATGTACATAGAGAGATTTGAGACTGACAGAGAGAGAACGACTGTAAGGAATTGACTCCCCCAGTTGTGGGGCTGGGAAAGTTGAAAGCTGTAGGTCAGGCACCAGGTTGGAAACCGCAGGGTTTCTGTGTTGTAGTCTGGAGGCAGGATCTCTCTCTCCTTTGGGAAACCTCAGTTTTTGCTCTTAAAGCCTTCAGCTGATTGGGTGAGGCCACCCACGTTATAGAGAGCAGTCTGCTTTACTTCAAGTCAACTGATTGTAAGTATTAATCACATCCAAATGCCTTCATGGTGGTGTAGTGCCTAAGGCATTTGATTGCTAACCAGAAGGCTAGCGGTTCAAACCACCAGCCACTCCTCAGAAGGAAAATTGGGCAATCTACTTCCGTAGAGATAACGCCTCGGAAACCCAAGGAGGGGTCGCAGTGAGTCGGAATCCACTCGATGGCAGTGAGTTTGGTTTGTCTGATTTTTTTAAATACCTTCATAGCAGCATCTAGGCTGGTGTTGGACCAAGTAAGTGGGCACTGTAGCCCAGCCAATTTGACACACAAAAGTCACCATCACACGGAGGAGTCTGGATTGATTTGGTGCTGGGAAGCTGCTGAGGGTCTGGAGGAGGGGTTGTCATGGTCTCTGTGTTCTGAGGGTGTGGCTTTGGGGACATGGAGACAAATAAGTGGGGGGCGTGGCACAGGAAGCAGGAGAATTAGAGAGCCACCACCATCATCCAGCAGAGAGATGAGTAGCAAGGCTGTCAGGCTACAGACGCAGAGGGGTCAGAGACCAACACAGACACATGGAGGAGGTGGCAGGAACACACACTTGCCCACAAAGAGGATGAGGGAAGAGAAATCGGAGTCAAAGATGAGTTGGGTGTGGGCCATGAGGACAGAGTAAATAGGGAGCTAGGCGGCAAAGAAGAAGGAACCGGTTAGATGGGATGGGAATGGAGGGAGGCGCTGAGGCTCTGGAGTTCATGTGCGGGCGGGGTCAGCGAGGGTGAAAACTCAAGTTTGGAAGCTGAGGATTTGGAGACTATTTCATAATTTTTCAATTACTAGGGGCAGTAATTGAAACCCTATGATTTGACAGGATAGTCCGTGAAGATTTATCATGGATTTATCATGGAAAGAATAACCCTTGTGAATATAATTAATTGGCGTGTGTGGGCCGGTGGGGGATTGGTAACAACCAGCGGTAGAGTGGCGGAGGAGATAGTAGTAATGCCAGGTGAGAAAGGTGTGGTGACAGGGAGGGAGGGGATGGAGTAACAGCTCCAGTGCTGTAGAGTTCAAAGAAGGTCAGTTCTGACCAGTATCACATTTGCAAATATTAGATTTGGCAATTAACAGATAGAAAGAAACAAGGGATTGCAAGGGGTTGAAGAGAAGGGGGTTATAAGAAGGAACAGACAGAGTGTAGACTTTTTTTTTTTCTTTACAAAGTTTGGGGGGGAAAAGAGGTGGTAGTTTGAGGAGTGGCAACATCAAAACAAGACATTGTCAAGCTGAAGAATACTTGTGGACCTAAGGAGAACTGTTGTTGTTGTTGTTATGTGCTGTCCGTGGAGTCGGACCCGACTCATAGCAACCCCTCCTTGGGTTTCCGAAGCAGTATCACTACGGAAGTAGATTGCCCCATCTTCCTTTGAGGAGTGGCTGGTGGGTTTGAACCACCACCCTTCTGGTTAGCAGTCAAGTGCCTTAGGCACTACGCTACCAGAGCTCCCCTAAGGAGAGCAAGAGGTAGTAAAAACAAGGGGAGCAATGTTTGTTGGATTGTGACCTGGGGGCAGGAAGGAGCAAGGTCAGAAGCATGAGCACAGGCTTGGTCCTGGAAGGGGCTGGGCACATCTTCCTGAGCTGGGAGGGAAGAGAGATGTGAGAACATAGAAACAATCTCAGGTGGACCTCAGGAGCTACAAGGCTTGATTTCAGTGAAGCAGGTGATGACGCTGCTGGCAGGTGAGGGAAGCAGGGAAGGGGTTGGAGCCTGAGGGAAAGGGGAATGTTCTAATAACTGCTAAAGAAAACTTTAGGACTTCACTGTGGGTGAGTGAAATCATCCGTGACCGGCATGACAGACCCAGCTGAAGGTGGACACCATGAATCAGGGTGATGGTGTCATTTTAAAATCTGGGTGCAGCAATTTAGAAACTAGCGTTGAGCACTGTGGCACACTTGGGTTACCCAAGGTTGGGGATCAGCAGAGCTGCTCCAGGGGCAAGAAGAAGGTGGGGTGCTCAGGAGTACCTGGCTGCAGTGACAGAGCCCGAGGAGAGAGTGAAACAGGGTGAGATAGGGATGGCTTCGAGCACTGCTGGTCGCAATAATGTCCCAGAGCAAGGTCAGCAGGAGTGAACCTTGGAGAAATGGAGATACGGAACTCTGTCATTAAGAAGAAACTTGGGGAGCTCTGCCTTAGAGAGTGCAATTCTGGGCGATGACAGGATTCTGTGGGTGGCTCTGATTATGTGTTGCTGCTCTGGAGTGGCGGAAAGGTTATTGGAGATAAAGTGGTCCAGGACCTCAGGGCAGGGTGGTGATACATTATCCACATGGATGGTGAAATGGTCCGTGACCAGGTAGGGCGGAGTAAGGTAGAGCAGAAAATGGGCTGATGATCGTTAGAGGAGAACTGAGTGGGAAGCATGAGGACTGAGATTTCCAGCAAAGGAGCGAGGCTGTTTTGCTCTGTTTTGGAAAGCATCTGAAATGTGTTCTCTGGGACTGTCAGCATGACCTTGGGCCCAGGAAATGAATGTGTGCAGAGGTGTGCGTTGATGGAAGCCTGAATCTCAGTTCATCGGGGGGGTTGTGAGATGCAGGGTGCTGTTTTCCTGGGGTTACTCACCTGCTTGCTGGCCTGGTGCCTTGGAATGTCCTGAGCAATGGCAGTGTCTTTGACAGCCCCCACCTATTGTTTACCTTCCTCTTGCTGAGGGCACTCTTCAAGGCAATTGCTGTTGTTGTTGTTGTTGTTATGTGCCGTCCAGTCGACCCCGACTCATAGCGACCCCTCCTTGGGTTCCGAGGCAGTATCACTACGGAAGTAGGATTGCCCAACCTTCAATTGCAGACCATTGCAAAACAACAGCTTGCATACCTTTCCTCTTTCTCCCACAGTAGGTGTGTGCGTTCTAGGCTGTTTTTCTTTATATACTCAAATGGATAATATGACCACAATAAAATTGTTCTTTTTGCCCATAGTGTTGATCCTTCTAAAATCTAAAAATTTCTTTTTCAGCTACAGTTTATTGAGCACACATACAAACTATGCTTAGTACTTCCTATTCTTAATTTACCCTCAGCCAAGCACCTTAGCAGATAGGTTTTATTCTTCCCATTCTGGAGAAATTAAAATGGAAGCTCTGAGATGCTAAGTAAAGTGCCACAATTTGTGAATGACCGAGTCGGGACTCAAACCCAGGACTGTGTAGCACCAGAGTATCTTAACTAGAGCAATGAAAATGCACTTACTTCCTGTACTTTATCCATTATCATGTTATAAGCAGTTTCTGTTTTTTTTAAGTGTGATTATTAACTTGGTTCAAGAGTCTTGGTGGCCCAGTGATTAAGCACTTAGCTGCTAACCGAAAGGTCAGTGGTCTGCAGTTCAAACCCACCAGCTACTCCATGGGAGAAAGGCTTGGCAATCTGCTTCCATAAGAGCCTGAGACACCCTAACGGGCATTTCTGCTCTGAACTGAAGGGAGCCTGCATCAAGTCAGCAGCACCAACAACAGTAACTAAGTTGAACTTGATACATTTTCCTTAAGACTGTTTCTTTATTTTATTTTTTTATATGCACATTTTTTTATTGTGGTTTGGGTGAAAATTTACAGAGCAAATTCACTTTCCATACAGCAGTTCACATACACTTTGTCTCATGACATTGACCACAATTTACCACAGTGCACCAGCTCCCCTCCCACTTCCTCCAGATAGTTACCTCTTCCCTGTGTCCATCCCTCCATGCATTCTTGCCCCCTGAGCTGTCTCCCTGTGCATAAAGAGCCCTTCTTTCTCCCATGATTGTTCTCTCCAAGGAGTGTATCTACTTCAGGGAAATGTTCGACTCATATGCCTGTCTTTTGTTTGGCTGGAAGCCACAGGTGTGGATTCAATTCCAGACCTGAAGGGCAGCTAGGGCCGTAGTCTCAGTGGTTCCACCAGGCTCTATCAGACCAGCAAACCTGGTCCTCCCCTCTTTTTTTTTTTCCTCCAAATGATTTTGAGTTTTGTTCCACATTGTTCTCCCTCTCTATCCAGGATCTCCTACGTAGATCCCCTTCGAAGTGGTTGACAGTGGTAGCCAGGCACCATCTAGTTCTTCTGGTCTCATAGTCATATAAGCTGCAGATCAGATGGTGTGCCAGTCGCTAGGACTAATTGTTTCCATGAATTTTGGTTTTCTTCATTCTTCTTTGCTCTGGACGAGGAAAGACCCCATTGTTGCATCTAGATGGCACCTTGCAAGCTTTTAAGATCCCAGTCGCTACTCGCCATAGTAGGAGGTGGAACAATGTTTGTGTACGATGCTATGCCAATTGAGCTTGATGTCCCCTGCAACTATGGTCCTGAGCCCACAGGTTCAACTACTAGGTCCCTCTTGGTAGCAGGCTGTGACCAAGCAGTGACTACAACCTTGCCCCTTGTCAGCTCTACTATACACTTGGGAATTCAGATCATACACATAAACTTATAGGACCATTGTCTGCCAACCCTATACATGTTCTTGGGTACATGCCCCACTTCATAGACATACCTAATAGTTCAGCCTGTCCACCCATCTATCCGCTGTATATCCCTGTTTGCCTTCACTGACAACACAGTGCTATATGTGCTAAAGGGTTCATCTTTGTGGTCTGTACCTCCCATGTACCTCTCTATATCTTTTTCTTCCTCAATGCCACCATATTGATCACTCACATTTGGTACATTGCCTTTCTCTTCACCCAAATCAACACTTATCTCTAACAGTGTTCCTTCCCCTCCCCCCCTGCCCTTGGTAACCAACAAAGAAAATTTCCTTACATACATAAACCATTCCTTGACTTTCACAATAATAGACTAATACAATATTTGTGCTTTTGTGATTGACTTACTTCATAAGGACTCAGCATAAAGTCCTCCAAGTTCATCCACGTTATGCGGTGTTTTGCAAATTCAGTGTTATTCTTCAGCATTGCATAGTATTCCATTGTGTGTATGTACCATAGTTTGGTTATCTGTTCCTCAGTTGATGG